GCACCCTTTGCGGTTCGCTACGTCGCGCACCCTTTGAACCTTTGGCCGCGTGTGTCGCGCCTGGAGGTTTCCCCGACCCCTGGTTCATCACCCGTCCCCCCACTGAGGTCTCACGTTACTCCTCCTCCCTTGGTAGCACGTATGGTGTCGTCTCCTTGACCACAGTCTCTTACATCCTCCTCAGAGTCGATGCAGCAGCCTTCGGCGCTACCGCGGCAGGTTGCAGTGAACCCTGGGGGTGCTGATGCTGAGGTGCTGGTCCCGGAGTTGCTGGTTATGGGGGAGCTGCCGTTGGGGGTGCTGGCGCTGGAGGTGTTGGAGCTGAAGGCACTGGCACTGTAGGTGCGTGCTAGTTTTTGGGGTGCTGGAGCTGGAGGTGAAAAATTAGGGTGTGCTGGAGCTAGCTGGAGGTAATGGAGCTTGAGGTCCTGGCACTGGAGGTGGTTTTAGGGGTGCTAGAGGTGGAGGTGCTGGTTCTGGGGGCGGCACCTACCCAAGTCGTCCCTCGTTACCTGGCGAGGTTCCAGCTTCATCAGTAGCTGCAGCCACATCAGCCACAGCCACAGACACAGTAGTAACGGTCATCGCCACATATGAGTGGCCTTCGTCTCCTTGGTCGTCCTCTTCCTTTGATGGCCACTCTCCGCCTTTGCTTGAATACAATACCCCGATTTCTCTTGCTGATGCGTCTCCGACACATTCTCCCCCGTTGCCTTCTTCTCCGTCTCTTGCATTTACTCCACACCGCTGTGGTTCCCCGGGGGCTCGTTTTTCGTCTCCTTTTCCTGACCTCCACTCCTTGTCCCTCATCATATCATGCCTCCTTCTCTTTTTCCTTTACCTCCTTCGTCGTCTCGCGTGTCCTCTTCTCTCTCGTGACTGGCCCTACTACCACTCTGTCATCTATTTTAGCTCTTGCCGACGTTGTCACTGACTTTGTCTCCACCCGCCGCCTTGACTACGCCATCCGGTTGGTGTCCGCTCTTGCTTCCTGTCCTCTGTTCGCCCTTGGCTATAATGTCCTAGAGGACAGGCAATTTGTCATCCGTCGGGGGGTGAGATTGTGCTACAGATCCTTGCGGCTGCTGCTCCCCACCTCTCTCCCATGCTGCTAGCCCCTAAGGGAGACCCCGGCGCTGTTCACATCCGGGCTCCTCGCACTTACATTGAGGTACTTTTGAGTTTAAGTCAGTGTTCCTCTCAGTGGATAGCAGTCATGGACTCTTGGAGGTCCACATGTACTTACGTTGATGCGATTCTTCCTCCTCGGGCGAACGTAGTCAATGGCATGCAGTTTTTCAAGGCATGCTACATGGCAAGAGGTTTTACTCAGCGTCAGGGAGTAGCCGTCTTTCATACATTCTCCCCCAGCTTGAAGGTGACCACTCTTCAGGTAATACTGCATGTCGTAGCGCAACGAGACTACGAGATGCACTTGCTAGGCTTTTCCACTGCCTTCTTCCAAGGCAGATTGCACGAGGAGAATTGACTTTGCCGTCCTCCTCGCTTACTAGCACTTTCCCGCCTAGGACCTAGTGGAGCCTGAGATGACCAGTCTAAGGATTGCGCCAGGCACCTCACGACTGGTGCGACACCCTGCATACTACTCTTGCTTCCCTCGGGTTCCGCCTTTCTTCCGCTGACTTGACACTGTTCGTTTGTTAGTTATGGGTCCACACATTTCTCATCTTCGTGTACGTCTACGACTTGCTCTTTGCTACTGCAGAAGTGGTCGCTCTAGCTTTAGTGGAAGCCTTGTTTGCAAAAAAGATACACCTGCACTGACCTTGGTGAGCAGCACAGCTATCTTGGCTTGGAGATCACCACGGATAGAGCGGCACCATTCTGACTTAGTCACACGTGGTGCAACAGATCCTTCAACAGTCTAGCTTCCAGTTCTCCTTTACACAACCGCTCCTCTTGCTGGGGCTTCAGACTCAGTGCTCTTCGACAATCCGGTTGAGTCTAGTGGTCCATATGCAGACCTTGTAGGTTGCCGCATGTACCTGATGACGTGCACTCGATTTGACATCGCCTATCCTCTCAGCATCCTTTCTCGCTTTGTTGCGACCAGGAGACACCGTCACATTCACTAGATGTCTGCTATAAGGGTATTGAAATACACGGCGACCACTTCAGGCATGGGGCTTGTGCTTGGAGGGAGCCAATCAATGGGACTTATTGGGCATAGCGACTCGCCCTGGACGAACGACGAGGAGACCCGCAAGTCTACACAGGGCTGTTTCAACTTGGGCTCTGAAGTTGTGTCGTGGAGGTCAACACGAGTATTGTCTGTGGCTTTGTCTATTGCTGAGGCCGAGATCTACGCCTGTAGAGAAGTGGCGGGGCCGCTTGATAGGGCGGCGAGGGCCGCTGGGTAGGGCGGCGGGGCCGCGAGATAGGGCAGCGGGGCCGCGTGGTAGAGTGGCGGGGTCGCGCGATGGGGTGGCGGGGCCGCGAGGAAGGGCGGCGGGGCCGCTAGGTAGGGCGGCGGGGCCGCGCTATGGGGCGGCGGGGCCGCGAGGAAGGGCGGCGGGGCCGCTAGGTAGGGCGGCGGGGCCGCGCGATGGGGCGGCGGGGCCGCGAGGAAGGGCGGCGGGGCCGCTAGGTAGGGCGGCGGGGCCGCGCGATGGGGCGGCGAGGCCGCGAGGTAGGGCGGCGGGGCCGCTAGGTAGGGCGGGGGGGGGGGGGGGGGGGGGGGCGCTAGGAGAGAGGCGGCGGGGCCGCGAAGACGGGCGGCGGGGCCGCTGAGACGAGTGGCGGGGCCGCAGTGAAGGGCCGCTAGGGCGGCTCGACGAAGTGAGGGCCCGGAGCGCGACTCGGGCTGAGTGCGCTTCGGGCAGGAAAAAAAAATCGATGTGGTGGGCCCTAAGCACAGTTCCCAAGCGGGAACCTGCTCGATACCATGAGAAGATTTGAACAAGAATGAATGAACTATGAATGAAGTGAGTACATATAGAAAACCCTAATTGGGTTGTACCCCCTATGGGATACCCCACTATAGCCTACACAACAGCATAAGCTATAAATATGTTCTGACACGCTTAGCTCCGCTTGCTGACTTACTCACTTACCTAGGTGAGCTGCCTAGCTCTGCACTGACCTTGTGCACTCATAACAAGGCTATGATCCTCCTTTGTCGAGAGCCTCGACTGGAGAGCAGATTGAAGAACATCAAGTTGCGGTAACTTCCTGTTGCGAGAGCTGTAGCGATGCGGCCATGCACGCTTGGTCTTTGTAGCCTTAGCGCCCAACACTACACACGTCTTCACCAAAGCCCTCTGCTCTTTGACCACCACATATTCTGCTAAAAGCTTGGGCTTCTTCACGCAGGTCCTCGTCTGTTATATACCTGCTTCTTGTTTCTTGCGTTGCTCGTGTTGTTCTTTGTATATATCTATATGCTCTTGAATTGGCCTTGTAACCGTTTGTCTCAAAGATTGGCTAATCGTGCCATCATGAGTTGCACCTCTTGGTTTGCTGCTAATTGTTGAATGGTCTTGTTACCACCTGTCTCAGTGTTTGGACTAGTTGATCCGCCCTGGGTTGTTATTTATCATGCTTGTGTGATGCCCTTCACCTAGCCTACGGGGGTATGCCAAATTATAAACATGTGTGTCTGTTAGTGCTTGGGTACACTGAGGTGCTCTTTGGGGAGTACACATTTTTAGGGTTGCATATTTGTATCCCATTATGCCTTGTCCACTTTCAGAGGCTATTATTTGAGTAATTGCGGTATGTATGCACATGCGTGCGGGCAATTGGTCATTGCAACAAAAGCTTTTGGCCGATTGCCATCACAACACCAACAGTATTGTGTCGAGGACACGAAATTCCAATGGATATGGTATTTTCATTTTCTACATGGATTTGCTCAAGAATGTCCTACTTAGCATAATGATACCAATTCCGACTTCAATAGCTTTGTTTCTAACGAGGTTCTCAAAGACAAATTTTTGTTTTTTTTTTTACGGCTGTCAGCTTGCAATGTCGGCACTCGAGTATGCACTCTAGAATATAGATTCTAGAAACCGTCTGGTCCACCAAGGTAGTAGTGCGAGTGGGCCAGCGGCCCTTTTTTTCTCTCCACCATTGTTCCGCCACCGCCAGGCGCTCGCCATGCGCCTCGCATTTCGTGCCTACTCGCCATCGCGTCATCTCCGTGTGGAAATGTAGAACTTTATTTCTCACTGGCAGCTTATTCCCAGGGGGCGCTTCGTCTCAAATCCGCGCGTTGCTGGCCGTCCGTTCGCCGATTACGTACTTTCCAGGCAGTGACGTCGTCATGTCGTACGCTGTAGTCCACGGCACATCCTCCGATTTCTGGCAGCGCAACGACAAGGTTTTTGGGAGATTAAAGCCATACTTAGTCGTCGCGTCCGCTATTCTCGCTCTCGGCGTACCGCTGCTCCTCATTTTCCAGCCGAGTGAATCGCTTTTGACGAACGCTGACCCCGCTGCCGCGTCTGGCGCCTCCTCTTCCGACCCTGCTGCCTCCGCATCTTACGCCGCTGCATCCTCGTTAGAAGCTGGCGTCATTAAAGGCGTTAACATTGCATGGTCGTTATGCCGAGCCGAGGCTGCTTATTGGGTAAGGATCAGTTGCAACGTAGTTACACTCGATATAGAATGACGCATCAGAAGAACGTTGATCAATAACAGGCGCAATGCTGCCAATCACAGAGGTAAACAAAAACTCATCATAAAGCCGCGCAGGTGTGTTTTCCAAAACTTACCTGGGTGTACGATCGCATGCTTGGTTTGGCACGTTCCTCCGAATACCGCCAACCAAGTTTGTGGCTTCCCAACCAATCGATTACTCTGCTTCCCATAGATAAACACGATTACTCTGCTCCCCAATTCCCACCCCCCCGACCCAATTCCCACGATTACTGCTCCCCAATCCCCACCCCCCCGACCCCCTTCCCTTCCCCTTCCGTTCGCCAGGCGGATATGAAACGAAAGGAAAGCAGCTCGTAACGGGGATCAGTGGCCCATGGATGCACACGACCTGCCGTCTAGGCTTTGCTGCTACCCATTTTCCCACTCCCCTCCCCTGCCCCCCCCTTCCCCTCCCCTCCCCTCCCGTCCCCTCCCCTCCCCTCCCCTCCCGTCCCCTCCCGTCCCCTCCCGTCCCCTCCCGTCCCCTCCCGTCCCCTCCCGTCCCCTCCCGTCCCCTCCCATCCCCTCCCGTCCCCTCGCGTCCCCTCAGGCTGATATAGACTGTAGGAAGGCGGCTCATGACGGGAATCAGTGGCCCATGGACGCACATGACCTGCCATGTGTGCTTCGCTGCTCCGCATTTCCGGCCCACCCCGCCTTCCTGTCCCCCAGGCCAACACAGAGAGAAGGAAAGTGGCTCATAACGGGGAGCACTGGCCCGTGAACGCACATGACCTGCTGTCGCTGCTGCTCTCCGTGCTCATGCCCCCTTACCCATGCCCCGCAGAGGAGAGAGTGGGTGCATGGGGAGATGGCGGAAAGGTGAGTGAACGGTTGAGTTGGGTCCGTTGGTTACTCCCTGCCCCGCTCTGCCATCGCTGCTACTGTCTGTGCTCATGCCCACTTACCCATGCCTGGCAGAGGAGAGAGTGGGTGCATGGGGGGATGGCGGAAAGGTAGGAAATTGGGGCAGTGGAAGGGGAATGAAGATGGGATTGGGGGATGGGGATGGGATTGGTTGGGGGATGGGGATGGGGTTGGGGGGTGGGGATGGGGTTGGGGGATGGGGATGGGGTTGGGGGATGGGGATGGGGTTGGGGGATGGGGACATGATGGTACGGAGGTATGGGGGTGGAGGTATGGGGGGTTGGGAATATGGGGGGATGGGGGGATGGGAAGGGAATATGGGGGATGGGAATATGGGGGGATGTGAATATGGGTAGATGGAGGGATGGGAATATGGGGGTTTTGGGGGATGGGATTACGAGGGAAAGCGGGATGGGTGTAAGCGAGGGAAGGTGGCAAAAGCTGCTAGTGGAAGCGGTAATGAGGAGGGATTGTTTTTAATTTAGTTATTGATGATTTTTGGGGAAGCGAATTACTTACAGGGGTGATTGTGTTGTCCCTTGTCCCCACCACATTGCACCCCTCTCTCCCCTCTTATTTCCCCTACTTGTTGCACCCCACCTTGCTCTCCATTGCAATAGTTGTGCCTCCTGCCATTTAACTCTCTCCCGCTTCCTTTCGCTCCCATGCCTCTTCCCCTGCCTCTTTCCATTCCACCTCTCCTTCCCTCCTCTCGTTCCAACTCTCTCTCTTCACTGCAATGGATGTGTGTGCTACCTCTAACCATTCTCCTCTCTTCCTCCTCCCCCTCCCCTGCCTCTCCCCCCACCTCCCCCCAGTCCTCCCCCTCTAGCTCCCATTCGTGCTCTCCACTGCACTGCAGTGGGTATGCATGCTGCCATTCAACCCTCCCCCTCTCTTCCTCCTCTCCCCTCCCCTGCCCTCCCTTCCCCCTCCCCTCACCCCTCCTCCGCTCCCCTGCCTTCCCTTCCCCCTCCCCTCACCCCTCCTCCCCTCCCCTGCCCTCCCTTCCCCCTCCCCTCACCCCTCCTCCCCTCCCCTGCATCCATCCCACCTTGCCCTCCACTGTAGTGGGTGTGCATGCTGCCAACTGCCATCCAAGAAAACCCTATAGTGTACAGGTAAGAAGTGTCAAGTGCTTGTTCAAAACCCTCTTCCAACAAAAAAATCACCTCAAGCCACCTCCCACGCTTGTTACCTCCCATGCTCGTTATACCTCCCCCGCCCGGGAGTTTGTTTTTGAGGTGCCCAGAAAGCACGCCATGCCTTCCCTTCCTATCCGCTTCCCCACTCTTCACCCCTCTTCTCCCCTCTTCCCCCCTCTTCCCCCCTCTTCCCACCACTCCCTCAGTCCCCCCCCTGCCCCCTCCCTCCCCCCCCCTTCACCACCCCCCCCCAACCCCCTCCCTCGTCCATGCCAGTGTGGGCAGCAACGAGCAGTATGACTTTGAGCAGGCCATGGGCGCGGCGCTGCACACCAAGCCATTCACCTTCGACCCATTCCTCTCCGCCAACGCCACTGCTCACATGCACGCCCTCCCCTTCCTCCACTTCCACCAAATCGCGATCGCGGGCGCGGCAAGCTTGGAGGCTTTCCGGGCGAAAAACCCCGGCATCACCTTCATGACGCTGCAGGGGGCGATGGAGAGGCTAGGGCACTCGTATGTGGATGTGCTGAAAATGGACTGCGAGGGGTGTGAGGAGGAGTTTATCATGGGTCTGAAGAGGGAGACTGATGAGTTTCTGGAGAAGAGGAGGGCGGAGGGAGGGGCTTTGACCGAGGAGGAGAAGGCGGGGAAGCGGTGGGGGCGGGGCGATGCAAAGCTGGTGGTGAATGGGGGGAACTTGCCATTTGGACAGCTGCTGGTGGAGTTCCACTAGTGAGTCCTCGTATTTTCTTATGGGATCTGTTACACACACTATTAGTGGTGCGAAGCTGGTGCTGCGTGGGTGTCTCTTCTGCAATCCCTCTTGTGTTCACACACACTTACAAGGGATGCCAGGCTGGTGGTGGATGGGGGAGCCTGCCTGCCGTTTGGGCAACTGCTCGTGAAGTTCCACACAACCCCACCTCCGCTTCTCTCCCTCCCCTCCATCCCCCACCTCCCCTTTTTCTCACCACCACAGCATGCACAAACCCCAGCAACCCCCTTACCTAAATGGCATGAGAGGTATGGGGTACCGCATGTTGCATGTGGAGCCTGCGTTTCACATCACCCATCTTGCCTTCCTCCCCGTACCACAGCATGCACAAACCCCAGCAACCCCCTTACCTAAATGGCACGAGAGGTATGGGGTACCGCATGTTGCATGTGGAGCCTGCGTTTCACATCACCCATCTTGCTTTCCTCCCCGTACCACAGCATGCACAAACCCCAGCAACCCCCTTACCTAAATGGCATGAGAGGTATGGGGTACCGCATGTTGCATGTGGTGGAGCCTGTGTTTCACATCACCCATCTTGCCTTCCTCCCCGTACCACAGCATGCACAAGCCCCAGCAACCCCCTTACCTAAATGGCATGAGAGGTATGGGGTACCGCATGTTGCATGTGGAGCCCGTGTTTCACATCACCCATCTTGCCGTCCTCCCCGTACCACAGCATGCACAAGCCCCAGCAGTCCCTGCCCTATCTGTACGCCATGGAGGGCATGGGGTACCGCATGTTCCACGTAGAGCCCAACCCGCTGTGCTACTCGTGCATCGAGGTGGCGTTCGTGCACGAGGACTTGGTGTTTCCTCCCTTGAGCCTTGACTGCGGGTCTCTTCTGAGGCGGACTGAGGTTTCAGAGTATGTGGCACGGTGGCTGCCACTGAAGGGGGAGAGGATGGGGAAGGGGATAGGGGGAGGGGGAGGGGGAGGGGAGGAGGGGGTTGAGGGCAGCAGCATAGCAGGTCAACCCAACCTCACCCCAAACCCGCTGTGCCACCTGCTGATGCCTCCTTTGAGGTTTGATTCTTGATGGTGATGGTGGTGATGACAATGGGGTGCGTAAGCACCTCATAACTGCATTGACATAACGTACCACTAGTTCAATCACGGAATTCCAATGTGGAATTACTCCATCATGTTTAGATGTTGTAGTGTTTGTGAGTTGTGGAATGGCAACTGCCCAGGTGTGGAAGGCGAATTCTGTGTGCCAGTACCGTAGTGGCGGGCAACAAGGTCCATTGGAGAAGGTGCCGCGTAGGACCTTACACAGGTTGATAAGAGAAAAGGCATCATTGCATGCTTGTATCGTCTGTTCTTCGTTGGCACTGGCTGTGGCTGGTCGCTAACAAAGCTGGCTTGCTCAACATTAGGCTCTGGTGAGAAAGAACACATCTCACCCATCGGGGTCGATGGGTTCAAACGAGATCTTATCGGGCAACGCCACAACTACATGCCTTTCTTGGATTTCAACATGGGCTAGGGTTGAAAAAAGAAGGCCTAGGGCCCGAAATATCAAGGTAGAATACCTTTTTGGCCCTGATGGGTGGCCGCTTTTTCCCAGTTGCCCTTGCAAAACAGGGTACCGTATCAAAATTCTTTCACTAATTAGGAAAAAGGGCTAAGTTTTGATATACATCGATAACGATTTTGGTTACCGTGCCGGTATCAAGGTGCGCTGTACATTACACTGATATTGGATCCTCTGTTACGATGATTTTTATTGCGAAGCTGCAAACCAATGCGACCGTCGCCAGGATTTGAACTTGCGATCATACTATACCTAGCCAAACATCTAACCATTCTTCATTTATGGAGTTTATCCATGTACAATATGTTCATTGTTATGATTCACTAGCTACGAATGAGAAGCGAATGATTCAATATGAGTTTGAGAAGCAAAAGAGAACGGTTTCAAGTGGAAACTAACAGCAGAGGCGACCATGCACTTCGGAAGCTAAATAAATATTTTTAACAGAATCATAGTCCGTGTACAAGTCATTTTAGGCTATTTTGGCCAGGGTATGCAAAATTCTACCCTATGAGTCAGGGTAGAGCTGGCCTGAACTGAAACCCTGATTATTGAAGGTGGGCCAAAACTAATTTTGGGCCTTGCCGGTCACAGCGACCAAATCCTCGTGAAACGCTTGACGATGCTTCTTGATGCCAGGGTTGTTATCGTTAACTCTGCTCTCTGAAAAGCCCGACCAAACCAAAGCTATGTAGGAGAATAATCTACATCTAGCTAGAAAGTGAGATTGAATCGACCAAACCAAAGATATGAGTGAAACAGTAGTTAAAAGCAAGTACCTACGGCTAGCTTCACCCTGGATATAAGCGCAGGTGCGCTTATAATAGAACATTGTTTTTTAGGGAGGTGCGCTTATTATTGAGTCACTTGTATAAGCGCAAGCACTTGTAATATGTAAAAAATGAAATTGGCTTGAAACCATACCAAATTGAAGCACGTAGTAAGGCGAATACAGCCGACCATGCATTACGTCGGATCGTGCATGAATTCCAGGCGAAAACGGCAACGCGCTTCGGTTTCCCACCCCGCTCTTTTTTCTAGAAGCATCGCACCTACCAGCGATGACGCAAAACTTGCCGTGCGGCCCAATCACAGCGGCATGCACTGTGTGGCATGTGCATTTCATCTGAACCCTCTCGAAGGGGTCCGGGCGATTCCCTGTCAGCGCAGCTATTATGCTGCCACGCAGAGTCCTCTACGGCTTGAGGCAGGGGCTTCACGCATGCCATTGACGAGGGTTTCAAGCTGCCACACCGAAGGAGTCCCCTCCATTTCCCGTTTCTTCACCCCACTTTCAACAATTTTTTTTTTTCATTCATTCGGTTTTATTTTCTAGCCCAACTGGCTGGCGAAACCATGGCGGGATTCACCGGGACCCACTTCCTCTTTAAGAAGAAACTGAAGCGCGCGTGGCGATTAGACGACGACGGTTGGTATACCCGTGAGCCTCCACAGCCTCCCGAGCCACCAGCGCCTCTAGCGCCGCGTGCACCGCCTGCTCTCCTCCTGTTCCTCCCGCTCATCCTGCTCCTCCGGCACGGCCTATTAACTCTTATGCGTACAAGGACAATTTGCTGTGCTCCAGGTCCTACTGCCAGCAACTTTCGACGAGTGGCTGTCTGAACAAGAGTCCAACAAGCCCCCCAATGTGTACGTCGTAGCTTCACCGCCGGCACCACGATGGGGACAGCCCCAAGACTGCACGTGGGACGATGTTGCCGCCAACGACCAGCCCCGTGGCGACGGTGAAACAGGCACCAGGCTGGCACAGAGGCGGACGTGTTCCTAGAGGGCAGTGCCAGCGCTGTGGACGTCGACGTCGTAGAGTCTTGGTGGCGCGATGCCCCATGTGAGAAGATGCAAATTCCTACATATCCGCCAATGAACAAAATCGTCCCCACCCTTCTGTTGAGAACCTGGATGCCTGCCCTCCCCTACCCCAGGCATTAGCCGTCACAACTTAAGGGCGTGTCTTGCAAGGTGTAGTTTGGCCATTTACCGAACTATTACATAATTATGATTCTTCACAAACTACTGCCTGCATGTACAGAAAATGATTTGTGTTCGCCTGACACGAATCCACTTTCTGCCGCCTTTGTGAAAATCGAACTGAGTACCAGCTTGACCACGTGGTCGTGAGCGGTAACCACCCCGCCCTACAGAATTAGTGTTTAATCTGGCAAAATTCACCCACGCCTGCGCCACAAGGAAATTCGCGGGTTGATATCGCAAATGTCGAAATTCGGCTAACACATACTGCAAACCTCCAAATGTACTTGTACGTGTTCTGTACTAGTGTGCACGGCACGTGCGGCTCACGAACTTGGACACGTAAAGAAAAGGTATCCCAGAAAGGAATCAAGAAGTGCTTGTCTGGTTGGTAGGGTATTGCCATTGTAACAGTACCTAGAAATGATTGTACTCTCAAGGAGGAAGATACGCCCTAAGCAGCACTAGTACACCACCCAGGAGAAGCTCAAGTGGCTCGTGCGCCTAGAGCTTGCGGCATCGGTAAGAGAGGTGGCGCGGGAGTCCGGCATCCACGCAAGTGCCTGACTGAATGGAAGAAACAGGCGGACCAGCTGAAGGATGCCCACAACGCACGGAAGTGTCTACACGGGCGCAAGAGATCTTCCTGGCACCGTTCGATGGAGATGAAATTCTACGTGCAGCTACTTGAGTGGCGGTGCCGGGGTGTTGCAGTTTCAGTCGGCTGACTCCAGGAGTAGTCTCGCGAGGTGATGGAACTGTTGTTCCTGGATGTGAAGTGGAAGGGGAGTCAGCGGTTCTGCAAGCGGTGTAACCTGAGCATGCGCATGAAAACCAAGGTGGCGCAGAAGACCTTGCAACGTAAGTGCCCTCTTTTTTTAAGCCTTCTTTTGAATTTGCGTGGTGGTCTTATTGTCTTGTTTGTGTCGTACACTGTATGTGTATCTGTTTCTAATCCGCGTTCTTTCGTGTCTTTTCCTCCCCTCGCGTAGATGTGGCGAGCAAGTGCAAGGAGTTATGGACGTTCATACGTGAAGCGAGGCTGGAATCCGACATCGACAATCGATGTATAATAAATGCCGACAAGACGCCTCTATGGCTAGAGATGCCGGCACCAACCACCGTGGAGCAGACGGGCGTGAAGTCCATGCCCATCTGGAGCGGTGGGTACTATAAATAACGAGTTATCGTGATGTTTGCATGCACGGTAACGGGGGAAAAGCTGAAGCTGTGGGTGTTCTTTAAGCGCAAGACAGTGCCAATGGGGGACTTCTCGAACGGTAAGCTTTTCAATACTGATTTGTGTGATGTTTTTGAAAAAAGAAAAAAGAAACTAGGGTTGCTTGTGCACAGACGTTGTCGTCGGCTGCCAGAAGAACGGCTAGCAGCGGAAGTCAAGAACGTCATCCTCTGTTCATCAAGCCAAAATTT